GGATATAAAAACAAAACCCGATGGCCAAATCCAGCAATTTGGTTAGAACATAACATAAACACACAGAAATAGAGATTTACAGAACATACAGCAGATATAGACATATAAATAGAAAACTGGATGGAAAAAGAAACGAACATAAGCAATTTATCGTCACCATTTATGAACAAAAAAAAATGCAAAAATAAACCATACACATATATTTTTCTGTTGATTTATAAACTTATACAGTAGAGATACGGTGAGAGTACATGAGATGCTCGCGCAAATGTTACAATTATATAAGAGTAGGGAAAAAACGTGATTTTTGTTCGTTACACTCTTTTTTGTTTATGCCAACGATTGCCCGCATTACACGGACACAACTCTTTTTTTTCTATTTTTCACTCGTTTTCGTTTGGTTTCTCTCCATCCCAGTCACTCATTACCACACACACTTTCTATTGACACAATTGATGAGATGCAACCAAGTTAGACAGACGTATTTACAAACAATTACAACAACATTTTTATTTTTTTTTCTTCTAATTGTCATAAAACACTGTGAAATAGATCAATCCATTGTGAAAATAGTCAATATTGAATGAACGGAGGCGAGGAGAGGAGAAAGAATTACATAGACAACAATAGATATTTACCTGCTCAAACAAAAAAAAAACAAAGACAACAACCGTTATTTATATGTAGATATATTTGTATTGTATTTTTAAATATAATCGATCATCCTATTTTCTGATACCCAACTATTTGTTTTCACCGTGTGATCGTCGTCATGTTGACTTTGTCTAACTACTATCACAATAAAACCAACCAAATACACAATATATAATCTTTATTTTCAAAGTAGATTTTCACCCAGACATTTTCACATACCATTTTGTCGTACAATAGCTACGTTCAGCAACGGTTTCACACAATCATTACACTTATTGACTACTACTTTCACAACATCATTTCTCTTCACGGTTTTTTTTTCTGCTGGTTTCGAAGGATCCAAACTCAATTGATTGATTTAAATTGAAAAGAAGAATCAAAAACGATTGCGCAAACTCTTCTTTTGACCTCAAGAATTGCAAATTTCCCTCTTGAATATCAATTCCTGCTTTGATTTCCAAGAAAACTTCAGTTGGATACACTTTTGATCAAACAAATGAATTACACTTTTTAATACACTTTTGATCGACTCAATCTCAGATTCTGAGACTCAGTACTCAATTTCAGCTCTATTGTTTCTTCAATAGGTTCTCAAATGTAGTTTATTCTTTGTGATTTATTTCCATGAATTCAATAGATTCAACTCCTTTTTTTCAATATTTTCAAATCAGCGCTTTATTTCGAGTGAAAGACTTGATTTTTCAATGACTTCGAATATTTTAATGGTCAAAATCCTTTTGAAGGACGTCATATTAGTACTTCTGAAGGGTTTTCCAAGTATTTTCAATTTCTGCTCCATTTGGATTTTCACCTCAGGCTAAAAAGTTCTGGCATAAGGTTTTCTCATTAAGTATTCTCCATTGAAAACTGGAGGATATGGACGCCTTTTCGGTTAATTTCCAATCACTTTTATTATTTTCTCGTACCCTTCGAATGTGCGAAGAGAAATGAACGAAATGAAACAATACAGCAATAGACACAATGAACACAAATATACCATAATTTGAGTGCCAAGCTAATTTACCTAAACCGGTTCTACAAATATTAAATAGAAGAAAAAATTAGGATTTAAAAGTGAGAAGAAATAGGTCTAAACATATTTTTGCGTTTTTTTCCACACAGAATCACAGTACACCCTAACATTTACCAAACTACATACACACAGCAATAGCAATAGTAAAAAAGAAGCGATATGCTTTGTTCAATAGAAATTGATAAACTATAGTTGAAATCGAAAACCCACATACAGGTGACGTTCAGTTGATTGTGTTTGATGTGCTTCAAAACAGTTTGATGTTTATTGAATTGCAATAATGATAAATGAGAAGATGAAGAAGGAAGAAATACGACATGAACTCGACATAGTTCACAGTTGATTGAAGTAGAAAAAAATAAAAAAAAATAATAATGTGATGCGCCAATGTAACATAATTGATAAGGAAACTGGATTTATTTTTCAAATCTAAACCACAAACCCACACAGACACACACTCACACATTTCATAAATTGTAAATAAATGATTGAGCAACCGTAAATATCTACACCTATACATTTAGTTCAGAGAGGAAAGCATTTAAAATGAAAATCCCAATTGTCACATGAACCGAGGCTATTTTTACACACAAATAAGAAAAACAACCCAAATTTTTTCAATGCGACGATAAAAAAAAACAAATGAGTAAAAAAAGTGTAATTTAAACAAAGGAGAAAAAAAATTGACAACAAAAAAAGTATATAATTGAATACACTGTAGTGCCTATCCCGAAAACAACAACAACAAAAGTAATGTTTAATATCATAAAAAAAACATATATAAGTCATTATATCTAGCGAACGTATGAATAAATTTAGAGTTAATGATCCGATATATAAGACAATTTAGCGGAATGAATTTAAGCGTCGAACACGCGTGTTCGCGAAAAATTTGCATCAGAAAGCTCATAGTATCGTGTTAATGTCATGCGATTTAATTTGGACAATGGAAAAAAATGCGTTGCCGAAACGATTTTTCCGTTTTGGCTAACAACGTTCGAGCTAAACAAATGTTTTCTTTCTTTTTGTATCTTGAAGACGTTCACACGTGACGTGAAATAGTCATTCGCAAAGTAGCTTTTGAATTTCGCAACTCTGCACACATACACACACACATCTTTTTACAATTTAGAAAGCAGAAAAAGTATAGTGATCGAAATCCGATTTCTGTTTTTGAAAGAGTTCGAAGCGAGTTTTGTGCGAAAATGTCATTCGGTTGAAACCAAAAGGATAGAAAAAAAACAAAGAAATAGTTCAAATAAAAGCTCATTTCAAATCAGCCGAATCTTATTTCCAAGCTATGTAGTACGGTTCATTTCGTCTGAGGCACACCTCCCCCCCTAAAGAACGCTGATGATAAACTCTCTCGAATATAACAAAATAAGCACCGAATTTAAGCGAAATGATTATCGTTTCGAGCACCGAATAAAGTAAAATAGTTTGGGACTATGCAAAAGAAAATCCAACACCGTCGTCTCCATCGAAGAAACGATGAATGAAGCACAAAGAAAGCCACACACACACACAAACACTCACACAAAATAATAAGAAGTAAAGAAATATATTATCGAGAATGAAAGTAAAGAAAAACATACAACCAGAACATATTCCATTAAAGAGTATATAATTCTATTGAATTCTGAGTTGATTTCTAGATTTAGGTTTTTTTTCTCGTGGAATAAGCATTTAAATAGAAGACGAAAGTGTATCATTTCTTTCAAATCCAATAGAATGAGCCCTCATAACAGGATACTTACATGATTTCGCATCATGTTGCATATAAAAATCTGTTCATATAAAAAAAACAATGAAATATGTTCCTAAAACAAACAGACAAACCGCCATATGAATTTAAACAGTTAATGAATAACAAGAATCAATCACAACTAGAACGAACGACACGAGTCTTAGTGTCAATATGTCTCTTTGCCACAACATTCTAATTACAGAAGAAAGATGCATTTTCGTTAAGTGTATTTTTGTTCTCTATTTTTATTTTCACTTTTCTTCGCTCTGTTCACTCGTCAATTCAAATTTAATTAAATTTTAGTGTGTATTTAGTAGAAAAATGTTAATCGAGTGCATAATTTATTTATTTATTTTGACAAGAAAACAAAAAAATAAAAAGAACAAACCAACAAAACTATTTCAATTTTAATCTTTACGAGAAACAATTTTGTTAGCTGTTAATAGTAATTATAATAGAGATATGGGAGGAAAAATAGATAAGTGAAAGAAAAAAATAAACACAGAAAAAAAAAATCACCCCAAGAATAAGCAAAAACAACACTATGTACCATTAATCATGCATTTATAATATAAAATATTTAGAGAAAAACAACAGCAACAGCAACAGCAACAGCAAAACCGAGTAGTAGTTGACCGGCAACATTGAAAGGAAGAGCAAATAAAAACAGAATTTGGACAATGAGTGAGGGTATCAAGAGTTTATGAATGGAAAAACAAGCGTTCGAATTACATATTGAATCATCATTCTAATAAGCACCGAAAAATATATAAAAAAACAACAACAAAAGCAACAACCGCCACTGTCAATTGTTGAAGAAACAATGTTTATCTGCTTAAAACACACACAAAAATGACACTGTTAAAAGGGTAACGAAAAATGGACAAAAAAAACAAGTTTAGTGAAAAAGCGAAAGAGTGAACCAAAAAAACAATGCACACTTGCAAAAAACAAATTTCGAAATTTATTCCATTCGACCAACAAATAGCGCTGCACGTGTGTGACTCATTGAGTCAAGACAATAGCCTCCATCCCCCAGCCATCACACATACACACTCATACACAAATGAATGCATATCATAGTTATAAAAATTAACTGAAGAAATCACACACACGAATGAGAGAAAGCTCACACACACACAAAACAAAAGCAACAACAAAAAAAAACTGAAAAAATACATTGCAAATGGCGAAACGTTTGAGAATTTAAGAAAGTCTGTTGAAAATAAATGAATTAAAGCGAAAAATTGTCACCAAATAAACACAAATCAGAACATTTTGATGAAATAAAAGAGCAAACAATGCATTTGAAAAGAAATAAAGGAAATTAGAATTGTCGTTGTTTTCTTTTGAACTTTGGTTCCGTTATTTTTTATTTTTACTCGATGTATTCATTTCATCTCGTTGTTTCACCAATTTTATTGCACGTAATGTGTCATGCATGCAGTGTTTCATCTGCTTTTTTTCATTGGGGTATTCATTCGAAATTCGATGGTTTTTGTTGTGTTTTGCTGTTTTTTAGATAGATTTTTGAGACATTTTTCTTCCATTTTTTCCCGATTTCAGATCGAAGACAATGACCTTCGGGCTAGCTTACCACCGGTCATGCATATTTCAACTGGCTTGAACAAGAGCTTGAGTGCACCACCAACTCCACCGTTTGGCTATCCGTTGTCCACTTTGGGTCTTGGTCTTTTTGATGCTGATCCGTCCAGAATTCTGAGCATTTTGCATCATCAAACCTTGTTAGCTGAAGAGGCATTACGGTAGGTTATACTCGGCCAGAATAAGAATTGTGATCAGTTTTATTCGGTTTGATTTTAACAGAATTCGGTGTGGGAAATACTAAGGATTTCTTTTTTAAGTCAATATATTTTTCGATGTTTTTACATATGATTTGGTTGAAAAAAAAAGAAGAGCTTCGAGGCATATAAAAATGATTTTTCTTTCACAATTTTGACGAATAGCTATCGCGGCATTTTGCCATCACCAAAAGAATCGAGCTCAACATCACCGAATCCATTATCAACGGCCTACTTTCGCATGAATCCAACATTTGATATGCTGTTCAAAGGACAGGAACAGCTGCTGAAACAAGCAAACTCGTATAAAAACTCAAACCGTTTTGCATTCAATGCTCAAGATGCACGTCGTCAATCGCTCAGTCGTCAGCAATCGCCACAGATCGAAATTACAATGACGAAGAAAAGTTCGCAGTCGCAGTCACCGTCACCATCCATGAAAAAACCTGAAGAAACCGTCCAAAACCTAAGCATGTCAGTGAACGATGAAGATATACCCGATGATGATGATGAAATGACAGCTGCTGCGAAAATTCCACTCGATGAAATACTCGGAAAAAACTCATTTCTCAAAGATTCACTGCGTTTTAATTGCAATGAGACGACTTCATCGGTAGGTTTCAGGCAGTAGTTACTTGAATTTTCATTAAATGTCCACATTTCCTTAATTTTTAAAATGTGATTACGGTCAACACCATCACTCACCGAAAACTGTATTTTTTTTTATTAAAATCATCACTTAAAATATGAATTTCTCTGCATTCTTTCTGTATCTGGTAAAATAGGACTGTTCATCGATTGAAGAAGAGACCAAGTGTGTTGTGTGTAATGCAAACTTTCCATCCGTTTGGCTGTTGGAACAACATGCTGCTTTGCAGCACGCCAATCTCGGTCCAATGGATGAAAAGCCATTCATTTGCGAACAGTGCGGTCAATCGTATCGGTATAGATCGGCTTACGTAAAGCATCGTGAACAAAACCACCGAGCCCGTTTGCCAGCTGACAAACTGTTCACGTGCGACGTGTGTGGAATGCAATTCCGATATTTGAAATCATTTAAAAAGCATCGCTTGAATCACGCTCTTGAGCGCTTGCACGGCAAATTCGAACGACGCTTCGGCCAATCGCTTAGTGATCGCAAGGAACGTGACACTCCTAGCGGAACCAGCATTAATGAGACCAACAACAATGAAATGGTCACCAGCTCAAACGAGCTAACGGAAGTAATGACCGATTTACATTTCACAATAAAAACCGAAGAAGAAGATGACGACGAAGCAGACAATGCTGCTCATTCACCCATTGTCAACAATGACGATCTGAACACACCAACCAATCTATCAATGGCCAATAGCATCTTGAGCAATGCAATCAAGGCCAAATTCGATCATTCGAATAAGCAAACACACATTCCAGAGAGACCAATTTCTCGTGAAGAGAGCTTTACATTAAAGGTGAATTTTTTTAACAGCGTTCAGTTGAACTCTTCATTTTTATTCTGTTGATGTTTCGAATCAACGTCATCGACATTTACCGTTCGGTTTTTGAACATTTGATTTCACATTCATTCAAATTTTTCGCTAAGAATATCGCTCTTCCAAGATTTTTCAATAATTTTCGTGTGCATTTAATTTCCATCTAAATCCGACAGCAACCAACGAGATTCGTGCCGAATCTTCATAATCCGAACTCATCGTTGAATTTACATTTTCAACAACAGCCATCGGTAGTGCCGCCACAACAACCAATTCATCAATTGCATCATCTTCGTCACAACGAACCAGAAACCTCAACTGCAATACCATCTACCTCAACAATAAATAGTTTAATAAATGCTGAACGTATTCCAAGTAATCAGATGCTCGGTTTAAATGCACAAGAAGCTTCCATTCTGAACTTCCTGCGTGTTGATGCCGCCGAAAAGCAACGAGATCGAAGGTACGTTCGTCTTCTTTCTTTCTTCTATTTTTATTTTTTCATCATTCATAAAAGTGAATTCAATTTGGTTTCTTCTCAATTTCAAAATATTAAAAAAAAATTCTACATAAAATTCCATAGATACTAGTTGGAAAATATTTCTTATTTGTTTCTCTTATCACCCCATTCCATCTATCCGCAACAGTCGCTTTGCTTGTCCGTTCTGTGGAAAATGTGTTCGATCGAAGGAAAATCTGAAGCTGCACGTACGAAAGCACACGGGCGAACGTCCATTTGTGTGCCTATTCTGTGGCAGAGCATTTGGTGGGAAGTCAGATTTGACACGGCATTTGCGTATACACACGGGCGAGAGGCCGTACCATTGCGAATCGTGTGGCAAATGCTTTGCCCGTGCTGATTATTTATCCAAGCATCTTACGACGCATGTTCATAATTCGACGCCACGCTGAAATGAGGGGCGGAGGCGGCGAATCCTCCAAAATAGATAATGATATTCGTCAGAGACTTCACCTGCGTGATGACCGAATACCAGCAGCCAGTAAGTAAATTACGGATGGCCCAATCTGGTTGCCAATGGATATTCGCCTGATAAGCAAAATAAAGACAAGCTCACATCGAACTAACGAACAAAGAAAAAAAAATTAACATGAAAATTAAAAACATTTAGTAAAAGAAGGAAAGTCACAGAGAGAGAAAGAGAGGGAGAGAGAAACGAATAAGAACACCTAAAACAAAACACAAGCAATAAGAAATTTTTTGTTCCGTTTTTTACAAATTCATTCTCCATCATTTGTACACACTGCAAAAGAGAATCGGGAATCATCTGATAATGGAACGAACGAAGTGGCACTTGCAATGCAAAAGTGCCATGTGGAATGGAATGAAAGCAGAAGAAGGAAACACATTAATTGAAACGTTGTGCCAGAAACTAAAAAAAACCCGTAGAATGTGAAATAGAGAAAACGATAAGAATATTTTACGCACTACAATTAATAGGAAGACATAGTAGAGAGTATTTAATTTTCAATATACAACAAAACAAACAAAGAAGAAAGAATGAACGAAAAAAAAGAGAAAATCTTATACACACGTTATTATACAGACGAAAATTCCGAGATACAAAATGCAATATGTGTATTTTTCAATTGATTCAACGCGATATTTTTCATGTGAACTGGAATTCACGCCAGACTTTTTTTAATTTATTCTCTGCCATATTTATTGAACTCTATTTCAAGCAAAACAATATTACGAATTGATTACAATGTTAAAAACACACTTGGATGAAACCAACCCACGCATACCTAACCATACAATGTACTGTACTCCGTAAGGAGTCATTCATTCTGCAAATTGCATGACACTTTAAAAATTAGAGTGCGTTGGAACACGCATTTTGTTCAAAGGGGGGTGCACGTTTGTGGTGGCATTTGTCGGGCGGTCAAAAGCAAGCCCGACCGACAAATCTCCGCACACACGCCCAAGCAGCAGCAGCAGCAACAGCAACAGCAACAGCGCGACAAGTCTTTTTTATATTTAGAAAACGAAATACAAAAATAACGGTTATATTTTTTACAGAGCCATTTTTTCACTCAAAAACTATTGACGAAGATGAAACAACAACAAAAAAAACAAAACAAATGAAATAGATTAACGAGAAAATAAAAGACACTTGGTTTCAATAGATGAAACGAAATAGCACACAAATTACTAAACTAACGTAGATTTTTCAGCAATTTGATGTCTGTGATTTAACCGAAACATTTAAAAAAAAATAGTTAAAAGAAAATTGAAGAGTGCGATGCATGAACGAAGAATGCAGGAGAACAATTGAGTTTGCAAAAGCGGCATTTTGCATCGACAACAAAAGAAAAACAAGCTTTGTACAAAAACAAAAATAAAAACTCACTGAGGAAATAGCTAATTATTCGAAGTATTTAAACTAATCGTGGGATGCGAATGGATGGCGAAGTTATCGCTCTCTCCATGTCTCTATCTCACCAACTCACGCAACAAAAAAAAAACAAAAAGATTTCAATTAATTAAAACAAAAGAGAACAAATGAAGCTAGAGCAAAAAATATTTCGTTTTGTAGAATTTCCACTTTTACTATTCGTAAATGTCCTATTTCGAATCTCTGACGTCAACGTAACAACACACACAAGAAAATGTTTCAAATTTCAACTAAAAATGCAAAGTAAGGAAAAAATTTAAATAAAAATTATTTAGGCAAAAATTCAATCGATCATGCTTTGGATGTCTGATATACAACACACACACACACACAAAAAAAATTAAGAAAAAAAAACCAACAAAAAAACTTTAGAGGCAATGTGAATGAAGTTACCACTATTTTTTAATTATAGTTTTCTTTTTTCGAGAATTTAAGGGTATATTCAGTGAGTTTAGGTTAAAAAATGATTTCTTTCGAGTTCATGCGAGAAATGGAAGGTCTTCGCTTCCCTGGGAAGACGTTACGCACTTTGGGACGAAAATTGATTTAGGGAGTAAGGATAAACGAGCGAAGCGATAGCAGAGAAACGAAAGAGCAAGAGAGAGAGAAAGGGAAACGTTAGAGTTTTAGATAAGTCGAATGTACCAGAATTGATTGTGTTTACTATGTATCGAATGGAGTGCCTAGACGCGCGCGAACCGCGCCATTTTTTCCAAAATGGTCGAATCGCAGCAACAAAAACTATGTTTTAAACATTTAAACTATAACATCGAATATCGTGAAGTAAAAAAGAAAGAAACAACTGAGAAAACATTATTGCATAAGTCTTTTTCATAGAATTTGAGTTTATTTCTTAAGGACGAACGATGTTGCCACTGCTTTTTTTTAGAGATTCATCTTTATGTTCACTTTCGTTTATTTCATACGGCTTTTTTTTAAAATTGGGATTCGTTCCAAGGACTAAACACATAGGAACAACATAACCATACACACACACATTCACTGTGCCAAATTATATGTACCTCATGAATAACCTTTAACTAATTGTTGAAGGAACAGAATCTTGATGCGTGGCTCTGACTAACTACTTGAGATGGGATTCTCATTCAAGAGAATGGCGCTCGTTTTTTAGACAAATCCGGTCCATATTCTAATGAGTATAAAAAGAAAAAGAAGAGATGAAATTGAATTAGGCCCAGTTACTTATCAATTAGAGATACACAGATTGGGAATTATAATCGCATTAATAGTTACGACTATCCTTATCCCCCCTTCCTACTCTTCATTCTCTCGATGTGTTTTGAAACGATTTTCCAGCGTTTTGAAACATTTTGAAATGATTTTTTATGCTCAAATGTTCAGTTGTCATTTGAAAAATCTCATTTGTTCATACAAAAAAGAAAAACAATTGGCTGAGATTTGCTTTTTTTCATAGAATTAAGAAATGAAACCACCGATGAGAAAAGCCACCCGACACACCTACACATACTATTTTTGAGGATACATCTAATTTTGGTAAACTATTTGCGCATCAGACTGACATAGAGTTTATGCAATGGTGATGATTCAAATGACGTTTTGTTGCAAACAAATGAATTAAAAGAAACAGCCTTGAAAGGAAATCGACATCGCGATCCCTGCTTCGGTGCAGGAGAAACAAACATTTAAAAAGACGAATAAGTACATTTTATCAGTTCACTAAATGTTAACTTAAAAAATTAGCTTCTATCTCCAATTTCGACCTCTAGTTAAGAGTCTATCAATTAGGTTTCCGAGACATACATTCTAGGTCTAATCATACACACACACACACACACACACACACACACACACAC